GTGGTTTTGCTCTGTTCTGACGTTAGTTTATTGATAAAGGAAAAAGAAGATGAAGGTTAGTGTGGGTAGAAACCCTTAGCATGAAATGAGATATTGTGTTGTCAATCAAGTCGCGATAGTTGCCAATGTGTGCCGCGACAATATAGCTCATTGACTTGTCAATGACAGTTGCGTGATTCTTGATGCAGGTTTAAATTACTGATAGCGAGTATATCTGTAAAGCATCTATTTTGCTTTGTTCACATAGGGGGAAAGTTTATAAATGATAGAGAAAATGATATGAGATATGTGGGAGGTAGTGTGAAAACAACAAATGTAAAGGAGGGCACAAGTTATGAAAAATTGAATATCATCAATTGCTGGAAAAGAAAGCAACTCATTTCTTTTAAAATTCTCAGTTGTGTTTGATAAAAAAACTTTTGTGGAGTTGGTACATGATGATGGGGTAGAAATTTGAAAAAGTTCAATGAAGAAAGTGGTCATATGTATGTAGAAGAAAATGAAAATAAGGATCACATAGAAACAACAAGGGATAATACACTGGAGGAACAAAATGTGTAAGTTTAGTTTAACAAAAGTGTTAGTGTCATTTCTTGGTATGTCAATTGTTATTGTCTTACTGCCAACTTGTCAATGCATGCATCATGACTTGTCATTTTCTGCAGGATTGATCAATCATTTAGAGGTGTCAATGAATTGCTATATCTCCACCTATCTTATCCGATGTGATTGGAGAGCCACCATCAATTCTTTATGCTGTTGAAATGATCCCCACACCTACACCACAAATAAATTGTCTATATCTCCACCTATCTTATCTGATGTTACTTGTCATTGGATGCTCTGTTAGTTGTTAGTAGATGCTGTGTTACTTGTCATTGGATGCTCTGTCCCTTGTCACTGGATGCTCTGTTAGTTGTTAGTGGATGCTGTGTTTTTTTTTTTTGTCACTGGATGTTGTGTTACTTGTCACTAGATGCTGTGTTGTTAGTGAAGCCTTTTGATTATGTGTTTCTTTTTACAGATGAAATGTTTCCATGCGATATTGCGTGTTGTTAAGTTAGAATTGTTTGCTAATGAGGACGAAATTGACAATGAAGTGAAATGGGCTAAAGTTTATGTGCAGAATGATATGTGAGTGTAGTTGTTTTGTTCGATTGTGTTATGTTGTTTTTGTTCACAATAACAATTGCATGGTACTAACATATTCAATTTTCTTGGCAGTGATTCATGTGGACACGTTCTCTCTTGGCTACAAGAGTGGGATGGCACTGTTCGTGATGATGCAGGATATACAATGCCACGATACTCCAATGATGAATTACAAGAGTTGAATGTTGGTTGTTTGTGGTGGTTGGTTACCCATCCAAGTAATGAACATGGGGGTGAAGTGGTATCAATGTTATCGGACTACAACAAGAGCAAGAAGAGGAGATAGAGTAGTCTATTAATTTTTTGTTTTGCTAGCCCATGATATGTGTTGTAAAATGATTGGCAAACAGGTCATTTTGTAACAAACTAACCAAATTATGTTATAATATTATTACTTTTGTCATCACATGTTGTAATACTAATTTCTTAGGTTTTATTACAATTTTAATTACATTTCTGTTTTATATGTGCAGAGGTATTAAGGGACAGTGTTTTATAAAATATTCTAATTTAGTGACAAGTAATATAAGAATTTCATAACAAATGAATTTGTGGATATTAACAATTGATATTCAAAATTTTCACAACTAAAGGTGTCTATATAAATAATTTTACAGTGCTTCATTGACCAGTCATACTGCGACCATTGACAAAGGACAATGTTCTCATTAACAAGTCACAGTGCTCCATTGACAAGTCATAGTGCAACCATTGATAAGGAATAGTGTTCTCACTAACAAGTCACAGTGCTCTATTGACAAGTTATAGTGTAACCATCGACAAGGAAGTGTTCTCACTAACAAGTCACATTGCTCTATTGACAAGTCATAGTGCGACTGTTAACAAGGGATAGTATTCTCACTAACAAGTCACAGTGCTCTATTGACAAGTTATAGTGCCACTATTGAGAAGAGACAGTGTTCTCATTAACAAGACATAGAGCTCCATTGACAAGTCAGTGTACTACTATTGACAAGTCACAGTGCCACTATTGACGGGGGACAGGAAGAAGTAAGTTTTTGACACTTTATTAATAATGATTATATATAACAATATAACCAAAATATAAAGACAGAGTGATTGAAAATATCATTTGATGGTAAAAAAGATTATGTTACTTGAATTCATATTGTTGACAATTTATATAAGCAAATTTATTGACAAGTCATAGTGCAATGATTGACAAGCCATAACCGGTCTGATGACAACGTAGGATGCAGGTATTGACAACTGAACTAATAGCAGAATTTAACATGCCAATTCATAGTCAACTTTCATTTACACCTTCATATATATGAAACTACACCTATTTCACAACCCATCCCAAGAAAAACATAGGGGTTGCATGTAATTACAAAACTAACTAGTGGTGTGTATCTATTTAAAAAAAATTCCTTCACACCTATTTACAAAATATTCTCTTCACATCCATATACAAAAGATAGTTGACTTCAATATATTCTCAGTTGGGATTTGGGTTCTTGCATGTCTTGTATAATATTTTTCGGAGAGCAACTGCATTTGGAAATACTTGTCCTTCTCCAATAATCAAATCCTTCCATTTTGTGAAATTTATTTGTGGTGTAGGTGTTGGGATCATTTCAATAGCACAAGGAATTGATGGTGGCTCTCCAATCACATCGGATAAGGTAGGTGAAGATATAGATAATTCATTGACACCTCCAAATGATTGATTGATTCTGCAAGAAATGACAAGTCATGGTGCATGCATTGACAAGTTGGTAGTAAGACAATAACAACTGACATTCCAAGAAATGACAATAACACTTTTGTTAAACTAAACTTACACATCTTGTTCCTCCAGTGTATTATTCCTTGTTGCTTCTATGTCGTCCTTATTTCCATTTGCTTCTACATACACATGACCACTTTCTTCATTAAACTTTATCAAATGTTCTACCCCATCATCATTTACCAACTTCACAAAAGTTTTTTTTATTAAACACAACTGAGAATTTCAAAAGAAATGAGTTGCTTTCTTTTCCAGCAATTGATGATATTATCTCTTTCAATTCTTCATAACTTGTGTCCTCCTTTACATTTGTTGTTCTCACACTACCTCCTACATATCTCATATCATTTTCTCTATCATTTATAAACTTTCCCCCTATGTGAACAAAGCAAAATAGATGCTTTACAGATGTACTCACCATCAGTAATTTAAACTTGCATCAGGAATCACGCAACTGTCATTGACAAGTCAATGAGCTATATTGACAAGTGTCACGACACATATTGCAACTATCGCGGCTTGATTGACAACACAATATCTCATTTTGTGCTAAGGGTTTCTACCCACACAAACCTTCATTTTCTTCTTCGTTTGCCAATAAACTAACGTCAGAACAGAGCAAAACCACCCACAAGTAACCCAAAAACAGAGCACCCATGATCATCCTACACACCCAATGTAAATCACCAACACACACCAACCAAAAACACAGCTTCTCCATTGATTAACTTGTGAATCCTAGACAAAAAACAAAAGCTTTGCAGTACCAAAGGCAAAAATGATTTTCTGATTTTCCATTTTCAAACAAATGTATAATCTGTTAAGAAAGGTAGGAGGGGAGAGGAAAGAAAGTTCCACACTTAAAAATTTGTGGAGATTCACATAGCAGCTCTTTGGAATTCACTAATAGTAATGGAGAAGATACTTCATCATCAATAGTTCCTTTTCTCTTTCCCAACGTCTTTTCTTTCAACCATATTGCGTGGAAAACTCCTCACCCATCGTCTTTGTTTCTGATAATTAGGGCAAGAGGATAGTTAGGGCAAGAGTGTCATTTGATTATTCTGAAAATTACACACAAATCCCTTTGGGACTTAAGAAACATTATGAGATTTCAAAGGACCTTTTTGCTGTATGTATGCTTGTGTGGGACCTTAATGCCATTTTCCCTTAAAAAAAATTCCCTAGCAGTGGAAGATTTAGAAAAAATAAAAAAAGTCAACAAAATTTTTTTTTGAATAATGTGATTTGTTATAAATTTAATATTAATTTTAATTTCTTATGATATATATCTCATGTTACATATAACATTCTGAATGGAATTTGAGGAAGTTACTTGATTATTAGCATTTGGCTATCATATTACTACATCTTCACGTACCAAAAGTTTGTTTGTTTAATTATTGGCATGAAAAAAGAGTTTGTTTGTTTAATTAATATTATTTCTTAGGAAAAAAATTATTTGTGGGGTACGGAGAAAGGTCAGCGTGCGCGTTGGTCGACTATCTCTCCGTATTAATTAGGCACTCAGCCACACTTTCCACCCACTTGCAATTATATAATATCACTCGCATAATCATCAACTCAATTAACAAATCATTTTGCTTCCTTACGTTACCTTCAAAAGTTTGGCTATGATGGCATTTTTTGATTTAATAGTCTTATTCCTCTATTATGCTTCCTTCAATTATTAAAGCAACACCAAGTTTTGCCTACATCAGTGTTCAAATCCAATCTCTTTGAAATCTTAACTATAAAAACTAAAAATTAATTTATAGAAACTGATCGAGGTAATTAATTGATTAAATTAGTTATTTGATTTCTCTAAATCGCTATGTTAGTCATGTAAATTAAAACTAAACCGTCTTTGATATTTGCAGTTAATATGAATAATTTGAATAAACAAAATAAACTCATCGATTGGCTTTAATATTGAGGACAAGAGGATGCATGTATGTGTGAGTGTTGTGACAAATTGGGAAGCTATTCATGATGTTTTCCAAAGGTACGTATCACTCATCATATATCTACATTATATTTCAATAGTTATTTTGTCTAAAGATTTTGTCAAATTTATAGTGTACAAAGTACTCTCTTTCACAAAGCCAATCATCCATGATTTCAAAAATGAATTTAATCAACACTATACAGCATCATATAGTGACAATAACCGAAGCAAAAGAGAGAGAAATATAGAGGTTACACTCACCTATATTGACACAAAACTTGTACATCTCTATTCAAATCTTTTGAAGCTAAGATCCTCATTGTTGAAACTTTACATTCAACTCAACCAATTTTAACTTCAAGTGATTCATTCTCTACATTACCTGCCCTCAAGAATAGTGTTAGATGAAGAAGAAGAAGTAGTAGTGTGTCTAACATCTTCAAATGTTGGGTGAGATGAGAAGTTTAAGTAAAGAGAATACTCAGACCATAAGTCCTTTGGGGATGTAATGGTTTTAAGCAAATAGGTACCCATATCTTCACTTTCATCATGCTCTCCACCATCTTCACTATTATTATTATTAGTAGTAGTAATATTCTTTCCCTCCAAAACCTTCAGTGCTTGTCTCACTGTTGGCCTGGCTTTTGGGTCAGGATAAGCACACAATAATCCCAAGTTAAGAATTGTTTCTACTTGTTGTTCATTCACTTCTCCTTTTGCCCTCATTCTCTCATCCATTGCTCTTATTAGTTGTCCTTGTGCTTTGAGTTGCCACACCCACTCCACCAAGGATGGTTTTCCTGAAACAAATTAATATTAAAAAAAAAAAAGATACTTTGAGTTTGAAATACTACTTAATGTGCACACCAAATTCACATTCATATTAAAAAAAAAACATAATACGTAAGTTCTCATAATTTTACCTGATTATTAATCAAGTTCTTATAAATTTTTTTTTTTTACCAAGTCCTTATATTTTCACCTGATTCTAATCAAATCCTTTTTTTTTAACTTTCTATCATATTCTCATAATTTTACCTAATTTTTAATTAGGCCTCTATAATTTTTTATCAATTACCTATTTTTATAAATGCAATTTCATAAAATCTATAAATTGAAATTATTGGATGAAATAATAAGGAACAAATTCAAACAAAATAAGCTCCAAAAATTACTTGATTCAAAATTGAAGTAAACTAGAAGTATTGTGATTAATTTTTCTAATATTATTTTAATTTCCTTTTATTATCCAAATTCCACAACTAAATAATTGAGTCTATCTTTTGTATTCAAAAGAGATCCGACATTACCTTCCTCAATAGGTCTCCTTCCACACATGACTTCCAAAACCAAGATTCCAAACATGTAAACATCACTCTGAGTTGACGCTTTTCCAGTCTTCATCGTTTCAGGGGCCATGTAACCCACCGTCCCAACCACTTTGGTGGTCCTAGCCACTTCATCATTTTTGTGCATCAAAGCCAACCCAAAATCTCCCAACCTTCCGTTAAGCCCCTTATCTAACAGTACGTTGCTGGCTTTAATATCTCTGTGTACTACTTTCACTTCCCAACCTTCATGCAAGTACATGACCCCACTAGCCACATCCTTCATAATCCTTATCCTCTGCTCATAGTTTAGGCTCTTGTCGTCGTCTTCGTTTTGAAATACCCATTTTTCTAGACTCCCATTTTCCATGTAGTCGTAGATTAGTAAGAAATTTCCTGGGTCTTTCTTGCACCATCCTCGTAATCTTACGAGGTTTCTGTGTTTGAGTCTTCCCAGACTGGAGACTTCTGCTAGGAATTCTCTCATTCCATTGTTTTCGGGGGATATTCGTTTCACTGCGATTTCTGATCCTCCCAGGATTCCTTTGTATACCTTGCCGTTTCCTCCGATTCCGATCACGTTTTCCTCGGAGAATCCTTTTGTTGCTGATTCGATTTCTTCGTAGGTTATTCTGTGTGGCCAGTACTCTAATTCCCAATCCTCCATTGCTTCTCTTTCCCTCGCTTTCCTTCGTTTTCTCTGTATTAAAAACAGAGTCACCAGAACGATGAAACAGAGTATCAAGAAAATCCCAATGGTCAGTCCTGCAATAAATCCTCTGGATTTGACGATTGAATCTTCTGGAAGAACAAAAGAAGGTAACCCAGAAGTGATTAATGCTTCGCTTAGTGAAAAATTCGAATTACTAAAGCTCCAAGCCAGAATTTTGTGACTTTGAACTAATTGTCCTGTCGCACTTGTAAATCCCACATACATTTCATCTTCAAAAACTTCAGATAAGTTCAACGACAGATTCAACAATGGCCTGCGCGGTCGTTTTGATCCTACTCGGGCCATAGTTACGTTAATCAAAGAATCTTCATAATCAATCCAAACCTGGTAATTCTCACCGTCGTTCAGCGTCAATTCTTCGAACGACTTGCCGTCGTCCGGCCAGTACCCGGCATCGTTTGCCACAACAGATTTGAGAGAGTTCACATCGATCCCAACGTGATTGTCGTTTATGTCATCGAACTCTTGATTCCTGAACACATCGAACTCAACACCGAACACATGGTTGCCGGAATCGCCATTGTTGGTGAAGTTCAAGAAACCTAAGTTTTGAGCAGAGCTTGTACCTTGGATTCCTCGAACAGGCGTGAAGATGAACACAAGGCCATGGCCAGGAAGAACATTCTTATAAGGTGCCATGGCGAAAATGAAGGAAGTAGAGAAAGGGTTGACATATGAAGAATTTGGGACTTTGGTGGGAATCTTCTGAGAGTAAAGAGCACGACCAATAGAGAAAGCTCGATCATGAGTGAGAGATAAGATTCCCGAATCAACGGTGGCGTTGCCGTAGAGCAAGACGCCGGAGGAGTTAAAGCCGTTGAAGATGAAATCGACGGCGAGAGATGAATCAGAGAAGGAGAAGATCAGAATAAGAAGAAGAAGAGGGAAGAAACAGGGTGGACGGTGTTTGAGTTTGATCATCGTGAGGATGAAGAAGAACAAGAAGAAGAAACAAAAGGATTTCTCATGGGAATGGTATTGAAAGGAAAAAGAATGGAAGAGCAAAGTGATGAAAATGAGGGTTTAGAAAGTACTCCCTCCGTTCCTTATTATAAGAGATATTTGATGCTTATGGCATGTTCCTATATATAAGAGACACTTACAAGTTGTCTCTACTTTTTTTGTGTTGATTTACTATTTTACCCATATTTATTATCTCCAACTCACACTCTCTCTCCCTCCCACTTCTCTTTCTTTTAATAATTTAATTGTTCTCTCTCATGCTCTCTCTCCTTATTAATGAGGGCATTTTTGGAAAAAAAATATACTTTTTACACATTAATTGTTCTTAACTAATTTTAACTGTTTTTTTTATCAACGTATTTCGGTTATTTGTCTCTTATAATAAGAAACGGAAGGAGTACAAAGGTACGGCGATGAAGGAAGAATTTGGATTAGTCAAACTCAAACATGGGAACTTTGCAAGTAAACATTTTCAACTGCGTAATAATTTAAATATTTAAATACAGATATTTTGCGTTAGACTTTAATTCAGTGGGGTATTTATGTACAAAGGGCTGAGCTAAGCAGGGTCTGGGCTTTTCCGCCTTTGTGTGTGAAAATGAAATTATTGACATTTTTTAAGGCTAATTAATGCTAAGGGAGCAGAGGTTAGCGCTGGAAAGGACAAAAAGGGCGTGAAAAGAGCTCAAAGGTCAAAACTGACGGCAAAACAAGTTCAAAGGTCAAACCTTTACAAAATAGTGAAAATACTATTATATTTTATTTATAAATTCCTTCTAATATATTTTATATAAATTAAAAAATTTAGATTTTATTACCTCTTATTTAAAATTTAATAATGTTTTAAATTTATTCTTATTTAATATGCATTATACTTCATATAAACAAAATCAACACAATAATAGATAAAGGGTAAAATTATATATTCATATAAAAAAAATTTCTCAGTACCTTATAAATAAAACAAAAAAATCTTTTTTTTTCTGTCCTATAAATAGAATGAGAGAAGTAACCAATACTTCTTCTAATGTATGGGTAATTATTCATAAAGTTTGTTTGAATTGAAAAATATTTTCAATTTTATCAATATTAAATGAGATTTTGAAAAAAAAAATAAAGAAACACATTTAATCATTATATGAGGTAAAACTGACAAATAAACATTAATTACTCTCGAAGTAATTTATATTATAGACTAAAAAAATCTTCTGTAAATAGCAAGGAGTACTTATCTAATTCTAATTATATACGAGTCTAAGTTAATTAAGAAGTTATTTTCAGTTGAGTAAATTTTTTTTAAAAAATGTTAGTAAAAATCAGTCCATAATTAATATTCTAATTTTGTTTTGTCAACAAATTGTCTTTCTTACTTGGTCTACAAGGATCAATTTCCCTAAACATGCTTAACTAACATTCAAGAAATGAAGGATTGTACAATTCAACACGGTAAGGGGTTCTCAAATTCTCATAGAGCTATTAACTGCTAATATTATTGGAAATGACAACTCAGCATGATGTGTGGTGACGTGTCTGTGATCGCTGCTCCATGTCTCCATCCGCATGTTTCTCTTTTTTCAAATATTTAACCCAAATTCAAATTATCTGTAATTATTACGTAATTTATGATCCAAAAAATCTTTTTTTGGTAATTTTTTTTATTTGATCAAGAAATTTTTTTTTTTTTAAAGCTTAGAACGTAAAGGATTTACGATCCCAACAGGTTTTTCTTTTTCTTAAGTAGTGAGGGCAAATTCTGTAAAGGATAATGGAGAAGCCCTAGCGAAGCAGATGAATAGGCGGGTGGAAGGGTTGGGTCAACTATTCATGGGCTTGAGCTTAAAAGAGTTGGATCTCAGAAGCCTGTTTATCCTAAAGGGACCATTGCATTGCCAATCGGCCCTCACATTCGTAAGCTTAGGGGGAGTTTGGATACCCCCTCCTCTTTATGAAGAATTAAAAAAAAACTCTCTCACATAAATAAAAAAAAGAATGCTCTTATAAATTCATCTTAGATTTCGTCAAATTATTTTTAAAAATTTAATTTAAATATCTTTTTAGAGTCACTTCATGGGCTTTAGACCCTTATAAAAGTTTTCAGTATTTTTTCACTTATTTTTCAAATAGATAAAAAAAAAAAAGAAAAAAAATCATTTGGTCTCTGTAATTTTAATTCATTTGCAACTCAATCATTAAATTTTAAGCCAATGTAACTTTTAGTCCATATAATTTTGACTTGGTATAATTTAATACCTATAGTTTTAAGTAGTTAATGTTGGTTCTCACATTTTGAAAAATAAAGTTATAAAGACTAAAGTTATTTTTTTTTGTTAAATTTAGCAACTAATATTTTAAATGGCTAAACTATAGGTACCAAGATATACCAAGTCAAAATTTAATGACAGAGTTTTAACTGTGTCAAAAGTATAGTAAATAAGTTGTACCAAATTAAATTTAGATATCAAGATATAATTGAGGCAAAATCATAATAACCAAATAATTAATTTTTCTTAAAAAGCAATAGATTTCATAAAATTTTTAATTCAAATCAAAAGTATTAGCAAACTAAAGTTATAAGTTATGCATTGTCCAAATATCCAAAACTAAGCTAAACCAAACCATTCTTGGCAAAAAAAACTAAAACTAAAGCAACCGTGATCTTGATAAATTTTGATAAACTATTATCCAAAACTAAATAAACTCGATAAACCATACAACTAAACATTGGCAACATTATCTTTGACCCCAAAAGAAAAAACATTGGCAACATTATCAGTAACATCAACATATTGATCATCATTTTCATCTTCATCAACGACTTTTTATTGCTAATTTCAGTGATTGAATTGAAAAGAGCTAACTTAGACGATTTTTATATGAAGAAACAACATAAAGAAAAACATATGTTGGCAAAAGAAAAGACTATGCGATACACACAGACATATGTATCTTGCAGTTAATATATTATTCTTTTTATTTTTATTACCTCATCTTATCAACCTTTTATTATATAACTTTTTTGTTTGACGTCTGATTCAATTTTTGAGACATTTAGTAGCTTTCATCTAGTGATTTAAGGGGGTTATAAGAAGAGAAACAGAGCTCCAGTGGTGTCCATTACTCTCACTCTCTCTCTCTCTCTCTCTATATATATTGTTCTAACTTCACACTGAAAAATACTCCCCTAGTGTCCCCTATCTAAAAGCCTTATATTGAATAGGGATAGAATTAAAAACTTGTTAAATTTTAAATAAGAGTTAATAAAGTTTAAGGTTTTTTTTGTCTGTGAAATATGTTGAAAGTAACTTATAAATAAGACTAGAGGAGTAGTAGCATTGATGTTACTTGTAAGAAGTGAGAGATTGCTAGATTGATTATACTTGTAGCCTCATATCATTAGTGTCTACTCTTTTAATTAAAAAATAGAGAATATAATCCCTGAGATGATTTTGTAAATCAACCTCTAACATGGCACCCATTAAAGTAAATTGTGAAGTAAGGAACGAAAGATCAAACCTGTCACTGAACTAGTTAACTAGTTAAGCAAGTGATTTAAGCATCAATAGTTCAAACCGAAGTCAACTCATTCGTAATTAACATAATTTTTTATGATAATAGTAAAATTATAAAGACAATTGTAAAATAAGAATAAAATTTAAATGATTATAAAGAGTTTGAAAAATATTTAAAAAATGATATGTGAAAAATATTTATTTATTAATGTGATATGTGAAAATTATTTATTTATAATACTTTTTTGTGGTTATGAAAAGTTCAAAGAAGTTTACTCAGAGAGAAAAAAGAAAATACGAGCAAACATATTGAGGAAGCTTTCCTGCTACACTTTCTTCTAAACCCCTCATGTACGCTGGTAAAAAAAAAAAAAACCCCTCATGTACTAAGAAGTCTGGCAGTAAAGCAAATATGCAATTTTGAATATGATGAGCTTGCATACATCTCTCTATGTTGTTTGTTCTTTTCTCTGTATCTCTTTTCACTGGTCTTTCTTTCCCCCCCTTCTACAATCTGTAATACAGGTGATTCTTGATGAGTTTTCGTAAGTCATTATTTTTCTTTCTTCTTTTATCCTGTTTCTCTTCTATTCCACTCATTATCTTCTTTATCTCTCTTCTTTTCTGAGCATTCAGTTGAAGTTGAGGGCCAAAGAATATAGATAAAAGAAATCATAACCCGGTAAGTTGCCCAACCCAATGGGTTGCCTGGGGTTAACACTGGGTTGTTTCGGTTTAGCAATTTGTTCCGGTCCAATTGTCCAGTGGTCCATTATTGAAATCCATTTGGTTATTCATCTATGCAACGAATTCTTACTGGTGTATATTCTCTAGGGGTGAAAATAGGTCAGGTGGCCTATCAAGAGCCTGTAGCCTGGCTTGTAAATGGCCTGGCCTATTTAGATATCAGAATAGACTCAGGCATGTAAAAATGCCTGTTTACTTTATCAGGCCAGGCTCAGGCCTGATAATAAGCCTGTTAAGCCTATCAGGCAGCCTGGGCTTGTTTTTTTTTTTTTAGGTTAAAATTGTAAATGGAGAGGAGGGAATCTGCTATTCTGATTGGTTGATTGAGAAAACTTCACCCACATAAACGTGTTATCCAGAGCTCATTGCATGCTTCATTTCATTTCCATTCTCTATAATAAAATTAATTGATGTCTGTATAATGACACATATTTGAACAGAGGAAGAAAACATAAGTGCATTAAAACAAAATAAAAGCATCATTCATTTTTTTGATACATGCTTTTCATATTAATCTTATATAGAATATATATATAATTGACCTATTATGTTTTAGACTGTATATATGTGTGCTCAATCTAATTCTTATTATAATAGTTGCTTAATTAATTTAAATAAATAAATCATAAATGTAACATATTTTTTTTGAAACAACCATGTGTAACAATATGATCAAATATCATTTTGTTAGTAAATTAGTTTGAACAAATGATAAATTTAAAATATAAAGGGGATTTAGGAAATTTCATATTTTAAATTAGATCTAGTCATCAACTAATTTTTATACTAGA